GAGGCTGCGGGGGGCGTCCAGCGAGAGGCGCTCAGGGCTGCTCAGCTTCAAGGCTCATTTTGCTTCAATATTTCAAGAGGAGGGGGCCGTCTCTTCCTGGACGAGGGTCCCCGTGGGCAGGACTATATGTCTGTTCCGCCTGCTCCTGGCCCAGGCCCAGGCCAAGCGGGCGCTGTGGTGCCAGGGGATGGGCAGAGCTGTTTCTGCCCCCGCGTCCCCTCAGGAGAGGAGACGGCTGGGGCTCCCTCTGAAATGCCCTGTTAGTTCGGGTTCCCAGGAGCGGACCCCGAGGCTGCCTGCCCCCCAGGTCCTCTGACTGCACTGGCTCTCTAGGTCTGGGACGAGGCCAACCTGAGGGCCCAGGAGCTGGCCAGGAGGGACGGCTGGGTGAACGTGCCCCCGTTCGACCACCCGCTGATATGGTAAGGCTGGTGCCCCCGCCCATGGGGAGCTCAGAGTTGAGAAGCCCTCGTTGAATCGGGGTCCTCCCCTTGGACAGACGGGGAACCGAGGCCCAGAGAGTAGAAGAGGCACGGAGCCCAGGCGCATGGGTCAGACCCGCCGCTGCCCCTTGTGGGCTGTGAGTCTGTGAAGCATCACACACCCGTGCCTCGGTTTCCCCACGTGTAAAACGGAAACACTGCTAATGAGTCCCCTGTAGGGAACGTGTACTTGGGGGGACATTTAGTCCCGTGAGTCCTCCCTGAAGCCCTAGAGGAAGGTGCTGTGAGCCCGTTTTACAGGGGAGGAAACTGAGGCACCAAGGGGCCAAGGAACTTGCCCGAGATCACCCAGCGAGCGGGTCCTGGGGGGCGGGGCGGGGAGCATGAATGAACGAACGCGTTCAGTGGTGGGAGCTGAGCGAGCTGAGGAGCTGGACGCGACGGGTCTCCTCTCCCTGGCTGAGGGTGGGAGGGGCGGGCTGAGGGTCTCCCTGGTCCGGCTCCTCCCTCCCCCGCTCCTCCTCTCCTCCAGGGAGGGCCATGTCAGCCTGGTGCGGGAGCTGAAGGCGGCCCTGGGGAGCCCCCCGGGGGCCCTGGTGCTGGCAGTGGGGGGCGGGGGGCTCCTGGCCGGGGGGTCGGCCGGCCTGGCCGGGGTGGGCTGGCAGCACGTGCCCATCGTCGCCATGGAGACCCGAGGGGCCCACTGTTTCAACGCGGCCATGGAGGCAGGCAGGCTGGTCACGCTGCCCAACATCACCAGGTAGGCGTGGGCTGGGCGTCTGTGGGGCTGGAGGGTGAGGATGCAGCTTCCGGGGCTCCTGGCCCCAAGGGGTGCAGGCGGGGCGCACGCAGGAGGTCTCCTTCACCCGGGACCCCAGCCTCAGCCTGCGGGTCTCAGTTGAAGGCAGTGCTGCAGGAGGAGAATCTATTTCATGTCCGTCTCCTCAGCGAGTAAAACAGCTCCCACCGGTCGGTGTCATCACCGACCAAATGGCGGTGCGTTGCCGTTGGAAGCGTCGGCAAGCGCCAACCACAGAAAACCGAACGCTACCCTCACGCACGTCCGCAGTGCCCGCTGCTCACATGGGGTGCATTTCCCCCATCTCTGCCTGCCTCCCTCCCCGCCCTGCCCCCGTCCATGTACCATTGCCCACAAGTGACATGTGTGGGCACATAGTAAGTGATCAACAAACGTCTGTAGAAGGAATCAGTTATGTATTTTTAAAAGCTGAGATTATAGTCTTCGGACAGTTTTGTAACCGCTATTTTTCTGTTCATATTGTATCACATGAACACAGTTTTGTGGGTTTTTTGGGCAACACCATTAGAGAATTTTTCCCCCATTGCATTTTATTTTATTTTTTTGTTAATCCTCACCTGAGGATATTTTCCCATTGGTTTTTAGAGAGAGTGGAAGAGAGGGGAGAGACAGAGAGAGAGAAATATTGATGTGAGACACATCAATTGGTTGCCTCCCACACGTGCCCTGACCAGGGCAGAGGATTGACCTGCAACCAAGATATTTGCCCTTGACTGGACTCGAACCCAGGACCCTTCAGTCCATGGGTCGACGCTCTATCCACTGAGTGAAACCAGCTCATAAACTAATAAACTAATTAATGAACAGAGAGCGGTCCAGCCTCCAGCCCCTGCCTCATACTCTTCATCCAACATCGTGGACGCTGTATGGGTCACCCACGGCTTCCACAGACATCACCCCAAATCAGGGGGCTGGAAAGAAGAGAAATGTGTTCTTTCACAGCCCTGGGAGCTGCAAGTCCAAAGTCAGGGTGTGGGCAGGGCCATGCTGGGCCCGGGAGCAGGGAGAGCTGGGTCTGTGTGTGGCTCACCAGCTGCTCCCTGCATTCTGCACCCCCGCCCCACCTGCCCCTCCTACAGCGTGGCCAAGTGCCTGGGTGCCAAGACGGTGGCGGCACGGGCCCTGGCGTGCACGCAGGAGCTGCAGATCCTCTCTGAGGTGGTGGAGGACAGCGAGGCTGTGGCTGCCGTGCAGCGGTTCCTCGGTGAGTGAGCGCTGTCCCGACCTGGGCTCAGACCCCTACGAGGTCCAGGTCCCCAAGTGAGAGCGTGTACCCAGTGCCTGTCGCCAGCTGGGTGGGCAGTGACCGGGCCATGAGTGGATGGAAGGGGAGGGGCTACAGGAGAGTGTGCTGTGCTGTCGCTATCGCCTCCAGACTTTCGTAAACGCTCTTCTTCTCGAAGCTGCCCATCCCCAGCCCTGCTCCCTGTTAGTTCCATGTGACTACTCAGCCGTCATGACACCGCCTCCAGGAAGCCTCTTTTGATCTCTCACCCCCACCCGGCCTGGGTCGGACACTTCCTATGCACCAATCCCACTAATCTCCTAACTGCCTGATTCTAATCCGTCTACATCATTAGGTCGTGAACGCGTTGAGGGCAGGGGCTGGTGTGTCTGTTCACTGTTGTGTCCCCAGGGTCTTCCTAGGACAGGGCTGGGCAGGGAATAGGAGCGCCATAAAGACGTGTCGAATGAATGGAGGGATGTGTGAGTGACAAGGTGGGTAATGGACAGACGGATGGGCAAAGCGATTGATGGGGCAACGAGTTGATGAATGACATAGAAACAAATAGATGGATGGACATTGATTAATAGACACATTGATGGATGGACAGACAGATAGTCAAAAGATAGATACTGGATGGATGGATGGGTGGATCAATGGATAAGCTGATTGATGGCCACACTAATAGATGGACAGACAGACAGTCTAGTGATGGATAGAGGAAGAGATGGATGGATAGATACAGGAAAGGTGGATGGGCGGAGAGACAGATGGATGGAGAGGGAGTCACACAAATAGGCCGTGAGATGGCTGGCTGGCTGCATGGTTTTGCAACACCCAGAGCCTGTGAGCACTGACTGGGCTCCCCCATCTCTCCTCTCCACCCCATTTCCCCGCTTTGGGAAGATGACGAGCGCATGTTGGTGGAGCCTGCCTGCGGGGCAGCCTTAGCTGCCATCTACTCGGGCCTCCTGGGGCGGCTCCAGGCCGCGGGCCGCCTGAGCCCCACACTGGCCTCCGTGGTGGTCATCGTGTGTGGAGGCAACAACATTGACAGCCGAGAGCTGCAGGAACTGAAGGCCCAGCTAGGCCGGAGCTGAGGCTCCTGGATACTCCTGGAGCTGGCGAGGGGCCTCTGTGCTCACAGAGGGCACTGGAAGCTACCCTGGGCTTCTGGACTGGCCGCCTCCTGCAGGAAGCCCTCCTGGACTGCTCCCTTCAGCTCCCCCACAGCCCTGACCAATAAACTCTTCCTGAGTTGAGTCTGTAACTCTGGCGGGTCCAGTCTTTCCACCTCCATGAGCTCATTCCTCAAGCCCGGCTCTGATGAAGCAGCTCCCTGCACGCCACGGCCTGAGAAGCAAAGCCAGGGGTTCCAGGCTCAGGCCTCTCAGGGCCGCCGGCTGCGCTGAGCTCCTAGCAGGGCTCGCCTCAGCTGGGGGACAGGACGAGGCGGGGATGCCCTGTCCCTTCTCGGGCCTGGGCAGGCGAGGACAACATCTCATCCTTCACCAGGTGCCGGCTGTGGGCCAGAAACCCGTCTAAGAACTTACTACGCATTATCTCCTCTGACGCGAAAGGGCACCATGAAATAAAACCATTATCACTGCCCTGTTCTACAGATGGGGAAACCGAGGCAGGGGGCGGTGACCTAACCCACCCACGGTCGCACAACGGGACGGTGGCCCGTCGGGTTCAAACCCTGTGATCCTCAGTAGGACTCTGCATGTCTTGGACCTCGGTCTTCTTCATGTGGGGGTGGTGGCGGTGGGACCTCCAGGTGGGCCTGGACACACATGTGGGTCACAGGGAGGGTGGGGACTGGCTGGCCTGAGGATCTCCTAGGAAACGGGAGGGGAAGTTAGTCTCTTGGTGCCACCAGGGGGCAGCAACGCGCCTCCAATGGGAATCCTGCCCCTCTGACTCCCAGACCCCTCCTCAGGGCGCCCTCCCTCCCCTGGAGTTGCTGAGTCCCAGAGATGGTGGGGCCCCAGGTCTTGCATGGGGAGCTCTACCCAACCTTTCCAGCCCCACAGGAAACAAGGCTCAGGGAGTGGGGCCGGCTGGCGCCCCAGCCCCCGGCAGCACCCACCTCCTGGTCACACGGAGGCACCCCTGCTTCATGACCACCTTGGGCAATGCTTTCCCCTCTCTGGGCCTCAGGCTGCACCTCTGGGCTGGAGGAAGCCCCGCCGCCATTTCCCACCTCCTTTCCGGGGCCTGAGCCGTGCCCTCCCCGGGCGCCTCGCCCTTTCCTCAGTGGAGGACCTGAGAGTGGCGTGCCCTCCCCCACCTCCTGCTGCCGGGTCCGCTTCTCTCTTTGACCCCAGACATCGGGCCAGACCTGCCCCTCAGAAGCCAGCAGGACCAGCCCTGCTCCCTTGGGGTGATGCTGTGTGTGTCCCAACAGGAGGAGGGCCCCCGAGAGCCCCAGAGGCGGACCCAGCCGGCCCTGAGCCGGAGCTCTGTCCCTCCTCGCCAGCCCGGCGACCTTGAGCAAACGAAGCTCCGTGCAGGGCCTCCGTGTTCTAACCTGTAAAATGGGTGGTTTGTGGATTAGCCCTGTGGACCCGGCCTAGGCAGGCTTTCAATAACTGATAGTTCTTACTGTCCCCTGAGCGTTTTCCCCATGAAGGAAGGTGCAGAGGAACTAACGTTTCTTGATATATTGAGCACCTACTGTGTGCTTTGGGCCTTAGCAGTCATTTTATTTAATCTCACAATCACCCGAATGGTAGGTACTATTATCTTCATGTTTGCACAGAGCCCTTACTCCAAGTCACACAGCTGGACTGCAACCCTGACATGTACGCACCCGAGGCTCATGCCTCTAACCCTCACTGCTCTCACCCCTCCTGTCCTGTGCTTAAGCTCTGTCCCCTGCCTGACACGCACCGTCCGCTTCTAAATCCTACACATGCTTCAAAGCCCGGTGCAGGGCAGCCTCCTCCCTGAAGCCTTCCTGGGTTGCTTCGGCCAGCGATGGCCTCCCCCACCCCCTGCTCCTCCAGGTGAGAGGCAGAGCGCGCCTCTGTCTCTGCCCCCTTGGACACTCAGTGGGAAGATGGGGAGCCTGCCAGCTGGACCCCGGGAGCAGGACTTCTAGGTGTTGGTCCAGGGCTGTGTGGGGAGCCCTGGACACTGGCTGCGAGTGTGGGTACCTGTGGGGACCCGCCTGCTTCTCCTCCCCAGCTGGGGCCCATCTCTGGCCCAGACCTCCTTTGTTTCCTGTGCGTCCTAGTGGCTGGGGGTTCCTGGGTCCCCTCGCCAGGCTCTCTAACTCCTGCCTCCAGAGGCCGCACCTCCACCTGGTCCCCTCTCCAGCCCGAGGCCAGGGGGACCCAGAGGCTTGGAGGCAGCCCTGGGCTGGCAGAGGGGTTCTTGCCCAGA